GGTTGTTGTTGTTGTTATGTGCCGTGGAGTCGGTTCCGACTCGTAGTGACCTTGCACAGGGTTTCCGAGGCTGTAAATCTTTACGGGAGCAGAAAGCCTCATCTTTCTCCCGCGGAACAGCTGGTAGTTTCAAACTGCTGACCTTGCGGTTCACAGCCCGATTCGTAACCAGTACGCTACCAGAGCTCCTTTAGGAGTAGAGTGGGTGCTGTTATTATTACAAATTGCAGGTGAGGAAACTGAGTCTCAAGGGGTGAAGTTACTTGTCCGAGGCAAAATGACACCCTAATACATACAGATATCTTCAGCCAACAGATACTGTTTCTCAAAGTGCCATCTTTGCTTTCTAACATGATAAAGAGGTCTTTTGCAGCAGATTCGCCCAATGCAATGGATCGTTAGATTTCTTGACTGCTGCTTCCATGGACATCGATAGTGGATCCAAATAAGATGAAAGCTTTGCTGACTTCAATCTTTTCCCTTTATTGTGGTATTGCTTGTTTGGTCCAGTTGTAAGGATTTATATATATATATATTTAATATTGAGGTGTCATTTACACTGAAGGCTGTAGTCTTTGATCTTCATCAGGAAGTGAATCTAGTTGTCCTAGCTTTTAACAAGCAAGGTTTTGTCATTTGCATATCACATGTTGCTAATGAATTTTCCTTCAATCATGATGCTGCATTCCTCTTCATATATTACAGGATCTCAGATTATTTGTCCTGCATATAAATCAAATAAGTATGGTGAAAGAATATAATCCTAAAACACATCCTTCCTGATTTTAAACCATGTAGTAGTGTTCCCTTGTTCTGTTTGAGCTACTGTCTCTTGGACTATACAAACGGATCTTTCAACAAACTGATGCAGCACTGGATGTACTCAATCATTTACACCAAGAAATTCAGAAGACAGCTACCTGGCCAACTGACTGGAAGAGATCCATATGTGTGTCCATTACAAAGAAAGGTGATCAAACAGAATGTGGACACCATCAAACAATATTATTTAATATTACACACAAGTGAAAATTTGGTGAAGATGATTTTTAAATGGTACATCAATAGGGAACTGCCAAAAATTCAAACCAGATTCAGAAGAGGACATGGAATGAAGGGTATTCTGACGTCAGATGGATCTTGGCTGAAAGTAGAGAATATGAGAAAGATGATTACTTAGGCTTTATTAACTATGCAAAGGCATCTAACTGTGTGGATCATAACAAACTATGGATACCATTGCTAAGAATGGGAACTCCAGAAGACTTCATTGTGCTCATGAGAAACCTGTACGTAGACCAAGAGACAGTGGCACAAACAGAACAAGGGAACACTACCACGTGATTTAAAATAAGGAAAAACAGGTGTTAGGGATGTATCTTTTCACCTTACTTATTCAATCTGTAGGGCAGGTACTACTAGGGAATGGCTAAATTTATGGTTGTTTGGGTCGGAGAAGAGTAGAGAGAAGAATGGTAGAGAGGGGAAGGTCATAGAAAGTTACAAATGATTGAGATTTGATTGTATTAGACAGCGAGGAACTGCTGGAGGTTTTTGAGCTGTTAAGAAAGTGTCCAGGGTTGTGTTTCTGGAAGTCAGTGCTGGAAGCAGGGGCTAGGTGGATTAGGTGGGGGAGGTAGGCATAGACTGTTGGCAGGGAAATCAATTTAGAAACTGCCATAAATAGCTCTGCTGTCCACACCTCCAGCCAACCCTCCACCCCTCCGCCCCCCTTCCCAATTACTATTAATGGCGTCACTATTCTTCCAGTCCAGTCGGAGTCCTGGTGTGGCACTGTGGGCTAATGCGTCAGACAGCAAAGTCGCTTGAATGGCAAGGTCGGTGGTTCAAGTTCACCAGCTGCTCCTTGGAAACCCAATACAGGATCACTATGGGTCGGAATCGACTCGACAGCACTTAACAACTATAATTCTTCCAGTCAGGCATGAAAGCTGAAGGCATTCTGACTCCTATCCTTCTATGCCGCACATCCAGTCAGCTGCAATTTCTGCCCATCTCAACTCCCCACACCACTACTAGGGTCCCATTGCTTTCGGGGCCCTGCCACTGACTCACAGACCCTGGCCTCTTCTCCTTAGTCCTGATCTCCTGTCTCCAAGTCCCCATTATCCCTAGTACCAGATGTTTGGAATTCCTGGTGATAACCAAATCCTGAAAGATAGATACTGCAGAGAAAGATGGTGTTTAAAGGAAAAGCATTTGGTGCTTGCCAATGAACATGCTGCAGCCACTAAGCACCCTGGAGGGCCCAATGGATGGAATGCAAGTCCTCTGCTTGCCCAGCTTTCTTCAGATCTCAGCTATCCTTGAAGAACCTTGTGATGGGGGCCCCTCCTCCACTAAGCTCCTTAGGATCTCCCTCATCAGAAATGATCTGTTTGCCGGATGCCTCCCATTTCATGCAGGCATATTCCTGCTGTGTATGAGGACTGCAGAGATGTTTGTCTGACTCCCAGAGGGTGGGGACTGAATGTAATGTTGGGGAAACAGAATTTTTAAAAAACCAACAAAATCTATTTCCAACCCAGAAAATAGAAGAGAAAGAAAACACTTTTATAATTGAATACACACATTAAACCAGAATGCAGTGCGTCACAGGCAATCTGTTAGAGAGATTCAAAGACAGAAATGAATCTTACTGTTTTATATAGCTAAATGGATACAATCTTTTACATTCACACTTTCAAGGTATAATTGCTAAATTTCTAGACTCTTTACCAGTGGTAAAGTTATACTAATTGCTTCTCAGAAAACTGGGAAGTAGAGGTTCCTATGTTCCAGAGGAAAGATGTTTGATTTACATAATTGTTAAAGAGACAAAGAAAGATTACAACTATAAGTTTTCTAGAGTAAGTCCTGAAAGTGAATGAGAGCTCTCTTATTTTTAATTGGCATTTGCCCTTACAATATGCATTTTTTGCTCTACAGTAGACTTAAACATGACAAGAACTAAACAACTGATGTTTGTTGTTGTTGTTGTTAAGTGTTGTTGAGTTGTTTCTGACTCATAGAGACCTTGTATAGGGTTTCCAAGGAGCATCTGGTGGGTTTGAACTGCCAACCTTGTGGTTAGCTGTCCAGGGCTGATCCTAAGTGCCACACTAGGAGTCCATGAAACCAACCAATTGTTGGTTGAACGAATTTCAGCCCCTGGTGGCCCTATTTATGTCAGAGTAGCACTGTGCTCCATTTGTTGTTGTTAAGTACCGTGGAGTCGGTTCCGACTCATAGTGACCCTGCACAGGGTTTCCGAGGCTGAAATCTTTGTGGGAGCAGAACGTCTTTTACTATTTTCCTGTGGAGTGACGTGGGTTTCACCTGCAGACCTTATGGTAAGCAGCCCACTACACCACCAGGACTTCTTTGGCAGTGTTTGTCCTTGATATAAATAACTGAATCTGATTGCTTGGGTCAAAAGGATCCTCAGATGAACCATGACCCCAGTTTACAGGTGTTTATACTAAGACCAAACTGCTGAATAATACTGGAGCCCTGGTGTGGCGCTGTGGGTTAATGCACCAGACTGCAAAGCTGTTTGAACTGTAAGGTCGGCGGTTCAAGCTCACCAGCTGCTCCTGTACAGGGTTGTTATGGGTTGGAACCGACTTGATGGCACTTAACAACAACAACAAGGCATGATTTGTGAGGTTGGCCCAGGACTGGGCAGTATTTTGTTCTGTTGTACATAGGGTTGCTATGAGTCGATACTGACTTGATGGCACCTAACAACAACAACAACAACAGGTATGAAAATCAAATGGCAGGACATTTCCAATGCCTCCACTTGTGTTTCCAGTATGGGACCTGGGAACAAGATGGAAAGGAGGATGTGGGCTTCTGGGACAAGCTGGCTCAAGGCATCAGACATCAGGGGTACAAAAGTAGTCACCCTCTTGGACCCAGCACATTGTAGATCCCCAGGGAGTAGCTATGGCCTGCGGACCTGCCTGCCTGCCTGCCAGTAGCCGGAGATGCTTTGAAGTTTGTAGTTGAAGGTTAGTTTCCTGGCCCAGCTCCATCTGGCAACTTAAGTTTAGAGGCAGTGAAGGGTGGGGTGGGGAAGGGAGCTGGGGACACAGTACAGAGAGTGGGAGCGGGGGTTTGGAGTCAGTTGGTGTGACTGGGAAGGGGTATGTGCTGTCAGGTTTCTCTAAATAAACCCAGTGCCCCAGCTGGTGTCTCATTTCTATAAAGTGGGTGGAGAGAAAGACACTGGTTATTTGTAGAACCAATCAGTATTGCCCTTTGAATGAAAACCGGCAAAAATGGACCGGTTTGCCCCCTTAGATACTGTTTATTCACACACATACAGCATGACTCTGAACCTGGAATGTTATAAACATTGGTGGTTGCTCCTACTGTTCACTGCGTGTGTACCAAGCCGTTAACATACATTTGTTCACCCACTGGCATTGTTATGATCCGCTCTTCACACACAAGAAAATTTACTTTAGTATGCTAACTGACTTTGAGGCTTGAAGCTTGACCTGGGGACAGACAGAAAAGGGATTTGAACTCTTGACTCCAATCAGTGTACACAGCATATGGAGGGGGTAGGAGGATCCAACAGCTTAGTTGAGGAGACTGATGGTTTTAGCCCAAAAATATGGTCTCCCCACCTTCGTTGATGCGCCTTAGGGTTCATCCCTACAAACGCTGAGGACACAAGGCTTCTGTAAGATTTACTTTTGGGTTTAAGCTAACGTGTTAACAACTGAGACCTTGGTTTATAGGGGGCATCAAGGAGAGAGTTTAGCCTCCCGAGCAGGCTCCTCCGATCTTCCACTTTTAAGCATTCTGCCGGGTCACAAACGGTCTCAAAGGCCTCCCGCTCAGTCCAGCAAGGCTGCCCTGAACTCCCACGGAAGCGCGGGCTCCTTGCTCCGGCCCACCCCTGCTCCAACGATGTCCAAAGAGGTGTCGGGCCCGTCCCTGGCACCGCCTCCTCCCCGGCGAGGCCCAATGCAGTGGTGGCCCCACCCCGGTCCTGCCCGGGCGGCCGCCGTTAGCCTGGCCCTGCGGCAGCCCGCGGCCAAGCAGCCGGGAGTAGCGGCCCACGTTCGGATCTCGCCCTCCCACATTTCGCTTGCCTGCTCGGTATGGCTAGCTACCTGCGGGTCGTACGCTCGCTCTGCAGGGTCCCTGGCGCTGGGTCGGCCTGGGCGCCCGCAGCCCAGACAGCCCCGAATTTGCAAGAGCAGCCGCGGCGCCACTGTGAGTACCGCGCGCAGGGGCCGGGCGGGGCGACTTGGTGGCTCCGGGGCGGGCTGGGGACACACGCGAGTCCGGCACACAAAGGGCCTGGGGGGCTCCTCTCCCCGCGCTGCTCCAGGAGCTGTCTTGGAGACTTGAAGGACGACGGTGGCAACTGGTGGCCCTGGCGACGCTGGGCCGGGCTCTGCAGCTGTATGCAGGCGGGGGCTCCGGGCTGCCCTACGCCCCCCAGTTGTGCCAGGAGGGGGGAACTGGGGGGCTCCTGAGTTCAGAAGGTATCCTAGTCTTCCTGCGTACTAGGAGGGAGGTACGCAACTGAGGGGTGATGGAGCACCCCTAGCCGTTCCTCGGGCTGCAGCGCCGCGGCTGCTCAGACAAAGGCGGCTAGGGGGAGGCATTCACTTCCACTTCCTTTCTGCCAGGCGCGCTAATCCCTCTTCACTGTTGGGCCCACGTCAGCCTTTTTTGGAGCAGTTTACGAGACAGTTGGAGGAGCGTCCTTTTTATTTTCGTCTATTGTGTATTTTCTCCTATTCCCGGGCTCCTTCACCACCACGTCAGTTTCCATGCCTGACCTTCTCCCTAGCTCGATCTGTCTTTTCTTTCCAGCCGCTGCTGGCTCTGCCAGGCTCCCGCTTCAAACAAACCTGGCAGCCTGAGCAAACTGTCACTTTTTTGAATCGTTTGTACAGCTTCTGGGGTACTCTTAGCTTCCTGCTTAAGGAGAGAACACAGTAGCCAGATTACAGTAAGCAGCACTTAACCCAAACCCCCGCTGCCTACCCAGGCCGCTCTGTCTGGCGTGTGGGCATCGGCTCCCTCCCTTTGAGGATCCTCCAAGACCAGCTTCAAAAGACTGGGAACAATGTAGGTCCTTTGGCCCTGTCTGATGCATGTTGCCACGGAAACCTGACCTGGCCAGGAGCCCCTTGGGATGAGCCAGAGAGTGAAGAAGAGGGGGTGGGGCCCACCTGACTGGCTCAGCCAGGGGAGGTAATCTTTAACCAAGTGTGGGAGCAGTCAACCAGAACTGGGGGGGGGGGGGGGTGTAAAGGTGGAGCTTGGGCCCCAGCCTTCATGTGCCAATGAGAAAGGCGCATTTCTGCTTTTGTCTCTTAAGAGATCAATCCTGCAACTCAGTGTGCCAAGTGCCCGCAGGTCCCAAACATAGATTTCCATATGGCACGGTCTTCAGCAAAATAGGGTGGAAATTAGATGCATTCTCTAATCATCCCTTTTTTTCTGCACTGATGGTAAACAAACAAACTAGACACATACACAGAGCTTCTTAGAACCTGGATTTCCGTAAAAAGAGCAATCTATGACAAGTAGTTCCAAATGTCCCCAAGCAGGTTGGTTATTAATGGGAAAAATGACTGGTGTTTGAATTGGACATTAGGCCATACAAATGTGACCTCTACCCGCTTGTTACCTGGCAACACTGTTGGAGACAGAATACTTGGCATTCCCTGTGATGACAAGAATATGCTTTTGGCTAAAACAGTCCTGTGTCTCTGCTGTGGCGTGGTTCCCACACGTCTCTAGTTGTTGCGGCACCATAGGCCTCCAGCGACTGCTGCTAGCGGTTCTAAACCGTGAAGATAAATGAACTTGGGGAAGAGTGGGCAGGCTCTGCTTATGCATTCCAAGGGAGAAATACTTTTCTAGCACTAGTTTATTTCACTTGTAGTTGGGAGATGAATTATCTCTGCCTGCCTTTTAATTTTTCATATCTTTTTGGTTGCTTGCCTGTATTCTTAGTCTCCAGGACAAATTATTTAATGATTCAAGGTTTTACAGACCTGCTTATTTGGTCTTATTTGGTCTCCACTGAGTCTTATTATAACTACACCATTTAAAGCCCATAGTTGCCCCACCTGAGCTATTCTGGGTGTGCTGCAGGATAATGCAAGATCGGTGGTTCAAACCCACCTCGGAAACCCTATACAGGGTCCCTGTGAGTTGGAACCAACTCGATGACATTTCACAACGACAAATGCTTAGCTTCAGTTGTTGTTTAGTGCCATTGAATCCATTCTGACTCATGCCCTGTATAGGATTTCTGAGGCTGTAAATCTTGGCGGAAGCAGAAAACCTCATATTTCTTCCGCAGTGCTGCTGGTGGGCTCAAACTGCCAACCTTGTGGTTTGCCATCCAACATTTGTCCTACAAAGCCAATACACTCCCTTTTGGGTCAGTAGGTTTTAAGAAAAACCTTTATGGACAGACTGGGGTGTGCCCCCAAGCCCTCTGTGTGAGGGAGGTCGAGGCCTCTTGGGTTGATGCCATTAAAGGTATGATGTGCCGAAAACTGATTATTTAGAGGCAGGGTCTATGTTTCTGCTCTGTGGTTGACACTTTAGCAGCCCTGTGTTAAATAAAAATGCCAGCAGGTTGCCAAATATGAGGATGTTCTAAGTTGTGACCTTATCCAAGGCAGGGAGACCAATGCTTGGGACAGATGCCATCCATACATGTGTGATGATCTAAGTGAATCTGGGGCAATCTGAAGCCCAGACTATGTGTGTGGCAATGCATTCCAGAAGGGGAGACAGTAAGGTCATTGGAACAGGAGGTGAGGTCTGGACAACCCTTACCACAGACAGAAATGGCTGAAACTGACTTCCGTTTATGCCTTCATCAGGTATTTATTGCATCACTAATAGCGTAGTGCTTACGAATCGGGCTACGAACCTTAGGGTCGGCAGTACGAAACTACCAGCGGTTCCTCGGGAGAAAGATGAGGGCAGTCTGCTCCTGTAATGATTGTTGTTGTTGTTGTTATGTGCCATCGAGTCGGTTCCGACTCCACGGCACATAACCACCACCACCACTATATGCCTGGTGTGGCACTGTGGGCTAATGCATCAGACTGCAAAGTCATTTGAACTACAGGTTCTGTGGTTCAAGCTCATCAGCTGCTCCTTGGAAACCCTATATAGGATCGCTGTGGGTCAGAATCAACTTGACGGCACTTAACAACAACAACAACAAGAACTATATACCAGGCTAAGTCCTATACAGGGTCGCTATGAGTCCAATCCGGTTTGATGGCACTTATCAATAACAACATATATACCAGGTACCACGCTAGGTGCTGGGAATAGAGCTGGGACTAAGGCCGGCAAGAATTTCTGCCTTTCTGGTGCTTCAGTTCTAATGCTGAAGAGGACAGACAATAAACAAGAGAAGCTGACTACAATCACTCAATACTGACGGTTCTGATCTACTCAGGCGCCTTTGCAAAAAGGCCTGATGATCTACTTCTGAAAACTCAGTCATTGAAAACCCTATGTATGGAGTACAGTTCTAATCTGAAAACTGTGGGGTCTCTATGAGTCAGAGGCAATTCTACAGCAACTTTTTTCTTTCTTTCAATATAATGTTTAATGGAATGGTATGTTGTTGTTGTTAAGTGCCGTCGAGTCGATTCCGACCTATAGCGACCCTGTATAGGGTTTCCACGGAGTAGCTAGTGAGCTTGAACTGCCGACCTTACAGTTCAAACGGCTTTACAGTCTGGTGCATTAACCCACAGCGCCACACCAGGACTCCATATACACAATATATGACGGGGCAAGTGCCATTGAGTCTGTTCCAACTCATAGTGACCCTGTATAGGGTTTCTGAGGAGCAGCTGGTAAACTTGAACTGCCGACCTTGCAGTTCAAACTGACTTTGCAGTCCAGCACATTAACCTGCAGCGCCACACCAGGACTCCACAGAGTGTGTTGTGTTGTTATTGCCATTGAGTCCATTCAGACCCATAGCAACCCTATATAGGGTTTCCAAGGAGCAGCTGGTGAGCTTGAACCACCAACCTTGTGGTTTAAACTGACCTTGCGGTCAAGTGCATTATCCTGCAGTGCCACACCTCCCATAACGACCCCGTATAGGACTTCACAGAGTATGTTATTGTTATTATTAAGTGCTGTTGGGTCAGTTCTGACCCATAGCGACCCTGTAAAGGTTTTCCGAGGCTGTAAATCTTTACTGGAGCAGAAAACCTCATCTTTCTCCTGCGGAGCGGCTGGTAGCTTTGTACTGCTGACCTTGAGGTTCGTAGCCGGATTTTGTAACCACTACGCTACCATAGAGTATACTGAGGTGAAAAAGTTAGGATAGGAGGTCAGGGTCTGTGGAGGACTTGTGGGGAGCTGAGAAGTGTTGTGAACTTGAGTGCCAGCTGCTGTTGGAGGCTGTTGTAAAAACCTGGTGAGAGCTATTGGTGGCTTGAACCTGGGTGATAGATAGCACAGGGTCTGGGGTGGGGGTGTGAGTAGTAGTAAAAAGTGGTTTCTGAATGGATTTTGAAGGAAGAACGAATAGATTTGTTGATAGCTTAATACAGGTGTGAGAGAGAAACAGGGCAGTGAAGGACAATATTGGAATCTCTTCCAGAATTGCCTCGAGTGTCTGGGAATGTGGAATTTCGCCCACTTTCTGCTCCTTTGCTGGGACATGCTGGCTGGCTGATCAGCTTCTTCGCTGAGAGCAGCGTGGGTGGCAGAAGTGGTTACACTTGGGGGTAGCTGTGTGGGAGGGACCTCCAACCTTGAATTAGGAGCAGCTCTAGAAATTGGGGACAGGTTTGGAAATCCTTCCACTCAGTGTTAGATGCCAGGAAGCCCCAGGCGGGGTGAGAAGAGGTGAATCTCTCCTGCGGCTGGTGTAATCCCATCCTGCACTCTTACCAATAGGACAGTGTTTGTGCAACACGCCACCTGGAGATTCATGGTAGTTCTTAGTTTGGAAGCTTTCTTGGACTTCATGCGGCTTGTTTTTACTTGAGAGGTGCATGGGATAAACCCAAACCCAACCAGTTGCTGTCGAATTGATTTTGGCTCATGGTGATCTTGTGTGTAGATTAGATGTTCCATAGGGTTTTCAATGACTGTGGCCTTTCAGAAGTACATCACCAGGCTTTTCTTCTGAGGTACCTTTGACTGGGTTTGAAACAACAACCTTTTGGTTAGTAGTTGAACACTTAACTGTTTGT